ATGGTTGAAGCTGTTGGGTAGCTAGCAGATGGGAATAGCATTGGGAAAACTGACCATGCTTGGGAAATTGTTTTTGGAATATGTCCTCTGGTAATTCACTATTGTTGAAAAGTAGCTTGATAGTGGCAAACTTCAGAGAGCTGTTTGTATGCAGCTGGGACTGAATTTACAGACTACCTTTCTCTGACTTGCTAAAAAGCTAAGGATTGACAACCCCTTTCATCCTGCATTATCCAGTGTAGCTTTTAACTCTAAGAAAACTATGTTCACAAATTGATGCTCTGCTCCTTTGGGGTTGGTGCAGAAACATTAACTTGTACTAAAATATTCATATGTGAGTGCATTTAGCTGAAAGCAATTGATGTGCTTTTCCCTAGAGAGAGGAAAAAAAATTGCTGTATGGTCCTGCACTCCGGCAGACACCCTAACCACAGTTAAGAGTAATTACATAGCTTGGCTGATCAAAGGTTCTTAAAGTGAAAAAGAAGCTGTAGTTGGGATATAGTTTGGTAATGTGTGCTTCTTGAATGGAACATATTCAGCTGCATCAAAGTAGTACATATTGGGTAATTGTTTGATATACAGTGTAATACATATGAACTAGTGTCAAACCAGAAAATATTTTATTGGGTTAATAGCTTGTAATTGGAAGGAATCTCTTGTATGAAGCAATTTTCATTACAAAGATTTCTTTCTAATTTCATTGTCCTTTCACTCTTGCAAATAAAGTAAAATATCTGAGCTGCCTTTAAAAAGAGTACATGTGCCAAAGGGGTTTATTAAGCTAGCCTGTTTAAAAGCATGCTGCTGGTAGGATGATAAATTGATGTACAATGAAGGTTTTCAGCATAATTCAAAAGTTGGCATAAAAATCAATAGTAGCTGACGGCATGCTTGCAAAGTAACTACCTCATCTTGTGTTGCACCTGTGGATGCACAGTAGCTTCTTGTAACAGCATTCAAAGTCACTGTAAATTGCAACTGAAAACTGTTCTTGTGGTTCTGTTGAGCAAATGTACCTTAACTGCCCCAAGGCAGCCTAAGGCATTTTAAAATGTTCTCATAAAAATGAAGTAATATTATATGCCACAAATTTTTCTATAAATAATTGGAAGAATCAGTATGCACAGGAAAATAACTGCATTGGTGTATTGATAATTATAATCATCCACATACAGCACTCTTGTGACATTTATCCAAACATTGTGTAACTGACTATGTGGATTCTAGAGGCAGTTGTGCAAATTCATGCAGGTAATGTCTCATGGACTTGCTGTAGATGTTAATATGCAAGTTGGGTATATTTAAAGCAGAAATAGGAGTCTAGGGGATGGCTATGGTGGATTTTTTAATTTTAATAATTAGCATACAGCGACTCTCTGCAAGATGTATCACAGTCACGTTTGTCAAAAGGATGATACGAGGCTAGATTAGTACTTGAAATAGCAAATGAAAAGTTGGATTATTCGCTTGAATAATAAACGGATAAATTTGGGACTTGGAGTTTTTGTTTATTTTTAGGGTTGTTGTGATGCAAATCTTTGCTTACAAACTTTGGGGTCTCTGTCAAGGTCTTGGCTCTGACTGGAGTCTTAGGGATATTGTGTGGCAGGACAAATTAATATGTTCTTGGCCTTTGTGCCAGTTTGCTGGCAGAATCGGCTTTGGCTGCTGCTGTAGCTCTTGTGAGAAGCCTGGTGTGTGTTACATGCTGATGCTCCCACCTTCACATGTTGCCATTACTGACATACCGAGCCCTTTCTGCAATAGCACACCTTTAATTTCAGTACTTCCTCGATGTGCCTTCCTGGTCTCTGCTTTGTGCACTCCCTGGCTGTTTGGTCCATTCTGCTTCCTATGCTGTGTGTTTCCTCCTTTGTGCTCTTTCTCACTGTTGGCTCTCTTCCTGAGTGTCTCTTCCCCTGTGCTCCTGTCCACTGTCCAGTTCATTAAAAATGAAGATTCGTAGCACGGCTGTGACATGTACAGTAACTGTTTCATATGTGAAATTAAGTTACTGGCAAGGCAATTGTCTAATCTGATGCCATGCCCTGATACCACCAAAACTTTCACCTTCCTTGACTTTAATTGCTTTTGGGACTTCATCTCGTATCAGACAATGCAGTGAGCCCCTTTATACAGCATCTGTGTGCTGTTTTGGTATGCTGTTGTCCTGTGACACAGTGCTGGCAGCAGTCCTTCAGTGAAAACCTGCCAGTGCACAAGCACCAGGGAGTTGATAAATGCTGCTCCATGTCCTGGACTTTGACTAAGTGCCTGTAGTTGTTGGCTGTGGATCAGCCACCGGACAGCAGTAATCAGAGCAGCTTCCAGGGATCCAAAAAGCAGGAACTTGGAAGTTCATGTAAAGCCGTATTTGTTGGCTCCTGAGAGGTGTGATCCAGTCTCAGATTCATGCTGGTTTGTGCCTTGGTGTGGGTCTCTTGCATAGATGAGCTCTGAAGAACTGAGATCTCCTTGCAGACCTTGGGTCCTCTGTGATGGCAGGCATGTCACATAATGCCATTGGAGGCGCACCGCTGCTCTGTGGTACCCATCTGCTTTCTGTTTTTCTCCCTCACCTTACTTCATAGTGTTTGGGGTTACAGTGCTGACTTGGGACTTTGAACCCCAACACAGTAGAAATGATAGGACTCAGCAAAAAACATGATGGAAGTTAATGATTTTGGGAAAAAACATTAAAACAAGGGTATTACCCTGAAAAGAACTTAGAGATCTGAATTTCAGTGTCTTTTATGACCTCTCTGGTTGACAAGGTGAATTCTTTCCTTGGAGAGCACTGAACAGTCCTGAATCTTTATCATTCAAACCTTGTGGGTCCTTTGTTTCCCTCCTACTAAATTGTAGAGTAGATTTAAACTATTACAGTATGGAACTGTTGATTAGAAGCATGCTGCCCTGTACGTCCTTTGTATGAAAACATCACTGAGGTGATCTGCTGTGTTACAGCCCGCTGAGTGGACCAGTTACCATAGCCAGAGAGCCAAAAGCACATCACCTAGAAGGACATGGCTCAGATGCATAATACAGGCTTTTTAGACAAGCCTGGTGATTTACAAATGTCCTTTTAATGAAAATCCTTGTCTTTCCTAGATATTTTAATAGAACATATACAAAGGCATCTGGCTTCTGGTTAGCTGGCTTCTTTCCAAGGGCTGAACTTCACAATGTTAAGCAAACCGATAAGCGTATCTGGTAGTCTAGATGACTAGCACTTAATGAATTGCTCTAAAAAAAAAATCAAATTACATCAATGTGTTCTTAAAAAGAGCTTGTATTAAAGACTGTACAATGTTAGAATAATTTCTCCTGTAACTTCTGTTCCTTTATTTGGTATAATTAAAATATTGCATTCTTACTGTGAGTTCTTACATGCACATATTATATTACATTGCAGCTGTGTCTGAAATGGATTGACCTCCCATAGTAATCTACTCAGCCAAAAGCTACTGAGGCTAAGAAATTTCTGAGTGTCTTCAACAGCTGTGTGTTTTTGTGGAATTTCAAAGCAAGCCTTTTTAATAGGAAATACTTTGTTCCTGCTGTTTTCCCTCCCCTTCAATCTTTACAGGAGATAGCTTGTGTAGAAAAGCTTCATAAATTTTATTTATCTATTCCTATTTAAAAAACAGTGTAATAGGTGAAATCTGCAGCTGTAGAAACATCAGAAGGCAATAATCTTTTTCTTTAGTTGATATAATAACTATTAGGCATGTATGGAAAGAGCATTCTGCATGGTCTCTGTATTTGAACACCTTCATTTGCCAGCCTCTTCAGAAGGTCTGTGCCTGTTCCACAGCTGTGCTTTGTTCTGTCATGTTAAAAGCCACTTAACTGTAATGCACATCTTCAGTTGCACAGGGATAAGATTCTTGACCCTTTGACCCTCCCTGGCCCCAAAATAATATCTTGAATTAGATTTGTATGTTCTTAATTATGGACTAACCTTGATATTTTTAAGAGAAATTCTGTTAGTATTTGAGGTTCTTTTCTAAGCATGTGTAAATAGCACCTTCTAGCTGGTTTTGACAGATGATCCCCTAACTAGTTTTGTATGTTAGAGTTTCCTCTTATTAAATGAGTTGGTGAAAAGTACTTTCTTTGTTTTTCTTCTGTAACATTAAGTAGCTAAACAGTGCGAGTTCAACTGACTTGGGGTGGTGGGAAAACTATCCAGGAGCTGAAAATATGAAGAGATTACAGCCCTGGATGACTTTCAGCCCAAGGGGAAAAAACTAGTTTTCTGCTGTGAATTAAAACTGTTGATATAAATCAATTTGCCTATAAATTTTCATCCATTTTGATTGTAAGTCTCTTTGAAGATGCTAGATTGGGAGCCCCAAAGTGTAAAGATCTACTGCACGTTGGTGCCTACCTGGGAAGCACTTCCTCACTCATCCTGTGTAGGAGGTGATAGTGAATGGGGGAAGAAAAGCTTTAGAGCATATGAACAGTGAGGGCTGGGGCAAGCAACAGAAACTATTGATACAAGTGTATAGTGCAGTAGCCCACTTCAGTATCTGAAATGTTTTATCCTGCCATTTAGGAAACTTTTGAAAGGTTTAAAAACCTCAATTTCAGCTTTGTGCATTTTATTTAAAGGATCCTAGAGCCTTAAAAAAACCATAGGTTTTCTCTTCAGGCAACTGCATTATCCATTTGTAGGTTATGTTGCTTAATATTTGCACTGGGAAGCTCCAGGGTCATGGGCAGCACTGATTGCCCTGTCCTCTAGCTGGGAAGTGTCTTACGTTGATGCAGATTTCCCCCCCCCTCATATGTCATTGCCAGATGTTCTGTGAGAGTCTCCTTTTACAGTTATATTGCATCCCCAAGTGGGGAAGGGAACCAATCATCAGCTGCCTTTAACATTAAAAGCTATTGTAATGTAGAAACTACTGCATGTGACTAAGTTTTGCGAGAGCTTACTGAAACTATGTCGTGGGTACCAAAAATGTGTAATTTTTATTTTCTTCTAGGAACTTTATATTGCTGTGGGAATATCTGGAGCAATCCAACACTTGGCTGGGATGAAAGACAGCAAGGTACATAAAGATGGATATTCTAGGAAAGGTTTTGGAGGAAAGAAATGAGTTTACTTCTTTGCTTTTACATCGGTACTTTAGCCAGCTTTCCTGTTCTTTTTAACGTTAAAACTGCCAGTTTGTCTGCTGCTTTAAAACATGCTAGCCTTCTAAGCCTTGCTGGAAAGAAAAAGACAGCATGGCAAAAGATCTAACACAACAGAAAAACCATTGTACTACAATACAAAGTGGTAAGTAGGGGCAACTTACTTTGTTTATTTAAAAAAAAAAAAACAAACACCCACATATGCCTGAATTCTATAAAATAGTTCAATTTGCGTTTATTTCAGAGTATGACATATTAATTCATGCATAACAATGTGCAATTTGAATTATGAACTTACTATTCCATAAAGCAAAAGATGTTTCTGACATTCCTGCATTTAGCCATTCAAATGGAAACCTATTATAAAATGGCAGTAAAACTTTAAAAGGTTTAACTCATTAGTTGCCAAAGCAAATAGTCAGAAATTGGAATTGCCGGTTTGGTCCACAGTGCAGTGTTTGGAAAGAGGACCAGAATTACCTGGAGAATCACGCTTCAAATGCCAAACATGAAAACCTGAAAGTTGTCTTGCCTCCTTGTGAGTGATTTTAGAAAAATACTATTTTTTTTCTTATTTCCAGGGAATGAACTTATACTTTCTGGCAGGAACCAAACCCAAAACTTTGATTAGCTTATAAAACTGAGTAAAAGGTTTGCCTGACTTTACAGGCAGATCCTTCAGTTTGTCTAGTGTTCAACCAATGACAGAGCAGTGAGTTTATGTGACTGGTAATTGTCCTCAGAAGCCAGCCTGTGTGGTAGGATGACCTGTGCTTTCTTACAATTTAGTTCTTTTTGCATATATTATTTAAATATGGTTTTGGGAAAAATCACGTAAGATGTATTTGGGATACAGCACCCTTTTGCGAGCATCAGTCTTGTAAAATCAGGGACTTGAGTCATGTTAGCATTAGTCAACACAGTGCAAAAAACCCAACCAAAATTAGAAATTAAGGATGGGCAGGGATGGAGGTAACTGTTGAAAAGCGTGAATAATAGTATCTGTAGCAGTGTATTCTCAGTGGTTTTAGTGGTACAGTGTTGTCTTGTCTCTTCTACTCACAGTGCAGCAACAGGGAGACAACAGGGACAGACAGTGTCAGAGTCAGTGAGGGCAGCACTGATGTGGTGCTGCCGCGGTTGTCCTCGCTCCCTCTGGGCTCTGCTAGTAGCTGATGGGCCACACTATTGCAATGGTCTTTGTTTTGAGATGTTCAGCCTCCAGCTGTGTTTTTGGGTGAGGGAGAAGATGGGTGGGTGGGATTAGCATCAGCCATTGACTGAGAGCTGTGTATTTAAAGCTGTATAAAATGTAATCTGACCCTCTTTGTGTTTATCTCCTGCCTTATCTCAGTTCAGACTACCAGCAGTACTGGGAACCTGTTACTTTAAGTGCCAGAATTTCCTTTGATACCACAGCATTGAGCAGTGATGTTGCCCTGTACTGTAACAGCAAAACCCCAGCTTTTTTGGCTTTTCTGATGCCATGTGTGACATTTTGAGATGTCCTTTCATAGGAAATAAGGACAGATGAAACTTTTGATATTAGATGCGTACTTACCAGTTTCATTTCTCCCACATATCATAATTTTTCTAATGTAAACAAATATGTACATTGTAAAAATCAGTTTTACTTATCTGTGTTTGAAATGTGTTCTGCTCTCCTTTTAGCCAAAGCATATATGTATTGTAGTTACTGAAAACTCCAGTTTTTACAAACAAAGAATTACGTAGCCATGGGAACTCTGGAGTGTCCCCGTCTTCCCTCAGTGCAGTGAATTATCTGAACTTGTATGCTTTGGGATATGTTTTCCAAAGTAGTCAGATGCTTTCTACCAAGTGAAATGTATAATTTATTTGTCCTTTCACAGCAAGGTAGAAAATGCAGCTTTAGAGGAGACTTGGAGAATCATCGTTGCTTTCTTTCCTTATTTTTAATTCCCTCATGAGGTAGTTACAGTATCTTTTCTTTCTAAGAGATGTAACTTGAAAATGTTCTGTTGCGAGCAAGGTGATGCTTTTGCTTCTTACCATGGAAAGTCTGATTTAGTGATGAGGTAGAGAACTGGATCTTACCAAAAAGTTACTTCAGCTAATGGAGAGAGGAAGGACTAGGCTGCCAAAGCAAGGCTTTGGCCAGTTTTGCAAGCAACTGGTGTTAATTATTTTTGTGATAAGGACAGAGCTGGCAGCCCCCAGGGTGTCACCAACTGCTAGTCTGAGCTGGCCCTTAGCCCTAACCCCTGTGAATGGTTCTGGAAAGCGTGGTAGGGCCTCAGAGCATAGGAGAAGTCTTTATGGAGCTAATATCCTTGAGTATCACAGCTTGGATCTTGTTTCCTGCACTGTAGAATTGTCAGTGGAGGCTCGCATGTGCAAATGGGGTAACTGAAATAAAAACAATAAAACTTTGGGAAAAATATTTCAGGGGAAGTATTACTGGAATACTTGCAGGTTTTTGGTTATGAGCTGGCAATAGGGCAGCAGCAGCGCTCTGCTGTAGGTAATTTCTTGCATATAGTGAGCCACAGTCACAAATGACCTGTGAAGAAAACACGTCTCTATGGGCTAAAAACCACAGGATTTGCAAACTGGGGTCTTTGAGTCTCTGCCACTAGGTGTATGATACTGTGCCATTAATTTTGTTGGACAAGTACATTCAGTGGAGGGAGTAAAATGGAGAGACATGAGCTGTGGCTACCTGGGAGTGGCAGGTAAGTGTATCAAATGACGGTTGGGTTAGAGCTGTCCTGAGGAGTCTTGTTGCCTTGAATCAGAGTTCCTTGGCAGCATTTAGGTGGAAAGGCAGTATTGGAGTGCTGTGGTTTAGACCCCTGCTTGGTGTAAGGCTCCTTTTATGAGCTGTCTTTTTTTAATTATTATTATTGTTTTTTTCCTCCTTATCTGTTAAGGAGTGCTCCCCATCCTGTTGTAGATTTTGATGTGGACACCCACGCTTATTTAGCTGGAAGCTGTCTCGGACATTTACAGAATGATTTACCTGTATGGCAGAGTTTAAACCAAGAAAGACATTTATCTGGACTGTTGTGTTGGGATTTTGATCATGTGCATTCTTTACCGTGTAACAAACTAAATTATATGTCCCATAGTAATTGCAGAGGCCTTTAGGCATGGCTTTATTGTACTTGTTTTAGATGCTACCTTGGAGTTATTTCTGTAATGGTATGGCTTAGATTTTGAGGCTAGTCTTTTGTAATAATTTTTTTGGTGGACTCTTCAACAGGGAAGGATAGCCCCGATGTATGCAATGAGCAGGGAAGGGAGGGGCTTTTTGAGGGGGTGTTTGTTTTTTGAGGTGGAAAGGAAAAACATTTATTAAATCTGTGAGTCATATCTTCTGCTTCTAGGGGCTTGGAGAGAATTTAGCCCTACATGTTAATATATATATATATTCACATGGTGCTTTACTCATGCTTGCAGACCATTGTTGCTATTAACAAGGATCCAGAAGCTCCAATTTTCCAAGTGGCAGACTATGGACTGGTGGCAGACCTATTCCAGGTGAGTCTAAACTTGGAGATGTGTGAGGTAACTGTTTCAGAGATCTAATGATAGCTTAGATAATAACAGTTAAAAATGTCTGTGTGAGGGTGTTTACTGTGTTTTTTCTTGAAGAATTTGCTTTGATTTCATTATTTTCCTGCTCAGAATTCAATCCCTGCAAGTAGAAGCTATCATGTGTGTTGGGCAGGGTGTCACAGCCAGCCTGCCTATACGTGAGTTGCCTGAATATGAACCGTTTTGAGAAATAACTGCACATAGGTGCTTATTTTTAAGCTTCATAAAGTATGAAAGTACTGAGTTGGCAGGAGGAGTTCTTATTTTGCCTGGGCTTGCTGCCTTACTGACACCTGTGAGGAACTTGCAGTTCTCTCTGGGAAAACTGAGCTGTGAGCTTGCCCGTGTCCAAGTGCCTGCAGCTCACATGTGTGAGCTGCCCATGTGCACGTCCGGAGGTGGGACTGGCAGGAGCTCGTAGTGGCTCTGTGGAAAGGCGTGGGCAGAAGCTCTGCCAGCACTTAATGCCATTCCTGAACTAATGCCCGCTGGCTCAGTGGTGAGCATGGGCCTTTTTGTAAGCCAGAGAAAAGTCACATTCTGAAGAAACACTATGTAGACAATTTCCTTAATAAATTTTGTACGAATGCATTATTTCCACCTAATGGAAATGTAGCTCTCTTAAATAATTAAGAGGCTTTATTCAGCGGGAGAGAAGTGGGGAGTGCTGTGAGCTGGGGTGACCCACAGCCCCTGGAGTGGTATGCTGTGTGGGAGGGTGGGGAGTGTAATTGGGGGGTGGGTGCTGTGCATGGACAGTTTGGGGGAGGGGGTCAGAGTGAGAGCAGGCGCTACCCCAGCACTGGTGTTTGCAGGCGGTGCCAGAGATGACGGAGCTCCTGAAGAAGAAGTGAGCAATGGTGATGGACCCTGCACTGCAGTGGGGGTAGGGAATAAAGGCAAATAAAGGATAGTACATGGGGTTGCTGTGGTGTTGGGGTTTTTTTGGTGGGCAAGGGCACAGCACATGGGTGGTGGTGTTGCGGTGGAAGCAAAGAAAGGAAGGAAAGGACAGTTGGAAAGGGAATGAAAGAGGGAGGAGGCAGCGTGTTTGTCAGTGTTTATTGCCATCCCCACTCCCATCCCAGCCGTGCAGCCCTGGGGCCAGGCTGAGCCCAGACTGTCCAGCAGCTCTATGTCCTGCCACTGGGAGCCATGGGTCTGTGCTGGCCCTGGACTGGTGGATGGTCTGTGGTGCTCCTGGGCACTGCTGGGCTGGCCCGAGGCTGGTGGCTGGACAGGTCTGTAGTCTGTCCCTGCAGGCACTGTGGGTCCATGTTGGCCTAAGACTGCTGCAAGGTCTGTTGTGCCCTAGTGGACACTGTAGGTCCCACCTGGCCTAGAGCTGGTGGCAGGGCAGGTCTGTCATGCCCCATCGGCACTGGTGGGTGTAGCTGTTGGTAGCTTGGCCCCAGGCTGGTGGCCATGGCAGGAGATGCCTCGAGTTCCTCCAGCACTGCCACCTTGCCCACGGCAGCCTCATGATCTAGCACAGTGTGTCCACCACAGCTGTCCCTGTTTCCCCAAGCTGTCCCTATGCCTCAGGAACCCGTCCCAGCTGTGGCTCTGGGGGCCCCAGTGCCCCATACTTCTCATCGATCACTGGGGCAGCCTGCGGGCAGTGGATGAGCGGCTTGAGCGGGAAGACATCGAGGCTCTCCTGATTCCTGCGGTTGTAGACACTGAGCCGGTGGCCCAGGCCAGGGCTGGCCACCACTGAGCCCGCAGGGCTGGGCAGCTTCAGGTTGACAGGATCCAGCCCCTTCTGCGCCAGGCAGGCCTCTTCGGACAGGGATGACAGCAGCTCCTGCACCCGGGTGGGTGCAAGGGTGGCCCGTAGGCCAGTGCCAGGCTCTGCGGCATCCTCGCAGGTGGTGCTGCAGTCGGGGGAGGAGCCCAGTGTCTGGCTGCTCTCGCTGCAGGCCTGGGTGCCTGAGCTGACAGTGGACTGCGAGGCGCTGCCTGAGGTGATGCTGGCGGATGTCCCAGTGCTACCCAGCCGCATCGGCACCTCCACTGTGAAGAGGTCAGAAGAGATGTTGGGGCGATGGACATCAATGGCTGCGGTGGTGACCATGCAGATGGCTGCCTCGGGGACACCGCTGTCTGCAGGGAACAGAGCACAGAGAGGCAGCTGAAAGCCCAGGCAGGGTCCCGCAGGCTCTGGATAGGTGGGTGGGTGGCAGCTAGGTTACCAAGAGAGAGGTTTCCAAAACCCCTGCGCCTCTTCCCCCTCTGCTGTGTGTGACGTACAGAAAATAGCTATAGCTACCACACTCCCCCCTTCAGCCAACTCCCTGTCCCTCTCTGCCTCTTGACCTCACCCCTCTCACTCCCCCATAAGGAAAAGATGTGTGACTGTGTATATACATACATGTATATTGTATGTAGTCTGGATTCTATAAAATATATGTGTTTATAGAGGTATGTCAATGTATAACCCCACATATAGATAGATGGATATAATTTATACAGTAAGATGTGTACGAGCATATGAAGGTCTACATATATTTCTGTATATGTAAAGATCTATGTGTGTATATATTTTATATGTGTTATATAAAATATGACTGTGCCTATGTCGATCAGAAGTATTATGTATCTATCTAAACGTGGATGCCCCATCTCTGGAGGGGTTCAAGGCCAGGCTGGCTGAGGCTGTGAGCACCCTGGGGTAGAGGGGGGTGTCCCTGCCCCCGGCAGGGGGTGGAACTGGAGGGTCTTTAAGGTGCTTTTCAACCCCATCGATTCTGTATCTATCTAATCTATCATCTATAAATGCATGGATATATTTACATAGAGATATGTCTGTGTGTGTACACACATGTAAGTCTACATACAGACACATTAATGTGTTTGGGCATATCATTTGTTAAAAGGTGTGTCTGTATATAATTATACATGGTTATGTGTATTGTATGTGTATAAAGTATGGTTGTGAGTATACAGATATAGGTATGCCTTGAACACATCTACCCCCATATATATGGGGATTTATAAATACATATTTTATATATAAAGATACAGATATATGACAAACTATATATTATATCATATATAGAGAAAGTGTGACTGTATATATTTTTAATATGTATAAGATGTATTACCCCCAAACATGGATTGAGAATGGGACAAGTGGGCAGAGGGGCAGGAGGGGGAGAA